AACCTCCTTCCTGAGGGGAGTGGGGCAAAAAGTGTGTGTGCTGGGTGGGTGGGGTCCTTCATGATGCAGGTGGCCCTCTTCCTGCATCTGGAGGTGTAGATGTCTGTGATGGTGGGGAGACTGACTCCAACATCTTCTGTGCAGCCTTCACCACTCTCTGCAAAGCTTTTCTTTCTGCAGCTGTGCAGCCTCCATGCCACACGTTGATGCTGGAGCACAGGATGCTCTCCACTGCACACCTGTAGAAGGAGGTGAGGACTGAGCTTCCCAGACCAGCTCGTCTCAGCCGCCTGAGGAAGTAGAGTCTCTGATGAGCTTTCTTGATCAGGCTGGTGGTGTTGTTGCTCCAGCTGAGGTTGTCATTCATGTGTACACCCAAGTACTTGTAGCTGGAGACCACTTCCACCGCAGATCCTCTTATGTTCAGGGGGGTGTAGATGTTTTTGTTCCTTCTGAAGTCCACAATCATCTCCTTTGTCTTCTTCACATTGATGTGAAGGTTATTCTCTCTGCACCAGCTCTCCAGGTGTTCCACCTCCTGCCTGTAGCTGGACTCATCATTGTTTGTGATGCATCCCACCACCGCTGTATCATCTGCAAACTTTACAATGTGACAGCCTGGATGGGTAGCTGCACAATCATATGTGAGAAGAGTGAACAGGAGGGGGCTCAACACAGTCGGGTGTCCATGAAGAGGTGCATGATGTCCCCGGCTTGATGTCAAATTTTAAACAAAGATTTTAGTTTCCTGGTTCAGTACAGTATGTGTTGGTGATGACTCTCAGCTACTACCACATCAATATGAGGTTCAGTATCTGCAGACATGTCTGTGCTGGCTAAGTTTGGTTAGCTGTGGCAGCCATCTTGATGTCGTGATCCAGAATGGTGGAAACGCTCATTTCAAATTTAGGTGTTTTTTTTCTAACAGGGGATTTTTACTTGCAACAATTTAAATGTGTAGCTTTACGAATCCTGCAACAGCTGCTATGACCGAATCCCAAACGTTCTGTAGTTGAAGTTGCACCAAAGCATCTCATGCAGCTCAAAGCTTGGATCCTGGATGGACGTGAACGTCTTCAACTACAGAACAGAAGTTATTTTGTTTTTAATGTTTTTTTATCATTATTGTTACCGCAAGTAAAAACCTAGAAGGACGTTGGTGACAGATGTTATACAGATGTAAGGATATTTATGTAACAGCACGTGTGCTCGTGCACGGCTGCAGCAGAACCTTTGAACGTGTGGAACATAATGAAGCTTCAGACAGTGACGAGGAGTCGTGTACCTGGTATACTGTGTCTCCTCATCGTCATGGTGTGCTCAGGACCAGAGATGTCCTTTGTTTTTCCATATGGGCCGTCATCTAGAAGAGAAGCAGTTTGAGCAGTTAGAGCTGTGACTGTTGATGTTCAGGCAACAATTAAAGTCTGAACTCGAGCTTTTCTTCGGTGTGTTGAATCTTTTGGCTGAAGGAAGTGAACTGCTGCAACAAACAGCTGCACAGCCGCTCGTTTCTCACTCTATTGTACTATAACAATATTTAAAATGTTTTGTAATGGATTTTAGATTGACATCCCTGTGAGGAGATGAAACATTCCAGAGATTTCCAATTCAATCAACCTTTATTTCTACAGGTTAGTCCCATTGAGCCTCGAGGACTCGTCTACAACAGAGACCTGATTTTAACAAAGAACGATGACAACAGTGGACATTCATATAAAAATCACATAAACTGAAAAGTAAATGGAAGAAATTATATTAAAAAAAACAAATCAAAGCAGCTAAATTATAAAGATATTTCCAAAGAGTTGTGGTTATTTTTGCAGATTGACACGAAGAGTGAATTCTAACAGCAACTTTATTAACTACTTTCAGAAGAACAAGTTCCCGTTTTATTTTCTGACATAAATACAAGAAACTTACATATTTGATTAAAACATATTAAATACAGGTAACCCTGAAGGAGAGAATAACAAGTTTAAAGAATGAAAAGAAAGATGAATGAATTAAAGGGTCAATATTAGAGATTTTATTTCTTACAACTTTACAATAAAACAAACAAAAAAACAAATCCAGGGATATTATATCAATTATTCCTGCTAAATAATAATAATAAAACATTTTAACTAAATGATTCTTCTTATAGATTATATTCTCCATGTGTTATTTATTTGTTTGTTTGTTTAACAAAGCCACTAAAATATCCTCTGAACCCCCTGAACGACACCCGTCACGTCACCAGAATATCTCAGAAGTGACACTAACATTTAGAAACAGAACTTTTTTATGTCTGGCTCAAAGTTCTTCTCAAACATTTGCAGCTTTTTAAAAATAATATTTAGTTTCCACTCAAATGGGGAGAGGTGGTGAAGGTGGGCATGTGATGGGAAGGTCGCCTGTTCAACTCCCCGGACCGACAATAAATCAAAGTGTGGTGAGAAAGAACGTTTGAGATTGTCGTCATTGTACGTTCCCACAACATTGAACCATCACACCTGAGATACACGCAGGTGGAGCAGTGGGCAGCTCTGTAAGCACCCACACCTGCCTCCACCCTCATTTGCCCCACTCTGGGCCCTTGAGCAAGGCCCTTAACCCCCAGCATCTGGTCCCCCGGGCGCCCTCATGACAGCTCTGCTCCATTGTGGTAGCTCGGTGGTCTGTGGTTGGTCAGGAAGAACATCGATGTGAAAGACAACTGCCACGTGTCCATGCGAGTTAGTTCTCTGTGATGACCCATGAAGAAGGAGCAGCCAAAGGAAATTTACTGATTCCTTTCAAGCCTCTAACCGTTTTGACCGAAGTAAGACAGAAATAAATAAAAGAGAATCCAAGAAAAGGTAAAAATGGTTCCAGTGCGGTTTTAGTTTCCAGGTGATGAAGTGATGGTGGTGCACAAGCAGGCTGCGACTTCATGGTGTCAGAGAAGCTCCGTGTCTCAGGAGCACACGGACCCACGGAACATTTCAACAACAGATCCAACAGTAACAAGCTTTTCTAAAAATAAAAGCTGTTCTCACAATAAATAAAAATAAAAAATCTCAATTTGTGCGAGGGCAGGAGGCGTCAACACAACAAAACGTATCTGGAGCCGTGCGGGTGAGTCAGATGACACGTAAATAACGATCCCATTTTATTATTCATCACTCAGTTTACATATTACTATTCATGTACAATTATTGGTTCGAAGTCGGTGTGATAAATTCATCTAGTGCAGAGGTTTGAGGACAACTCGACAGCAACATCACATTTTACAGCTCAGCTCTCTCGGCCTGCTGCTGCTGGAGATAAGTCCAACATGAGCCGAGTTTTTGTTTCAACACTGA